ATGTTCTGCTTGAAATGAGGAGAAACTTGAGCTGATTTGTTGGAGAAGAGATCCATACAGATGTAGTGTGTTCTGGCATGATCACTTACAGGAAAAGGTGGTTTGAACAGGCCAAATGTGGAAGAGTTGTTTGCTGTGTGTTAAATGTTAAACTGTATCAGTGAAAGTGCTCCTGGACCCTGTATGAAGGATGTGCCAGCAGTAAGGATTTACTTAGGCTGCTTGTAAATAGCCTAATACCACTAAGGCAGAGAGTGAAACAAGTTTTCAAGCCAAGAAACATGCCCAAATCTCTTCTAATTTTAACACCTCAGAAAAGAAGCAAGTAAAATAATCACATATGGCATTATGAGAGTTTAATAAAATCATGAGAAAAATAGTTGTGAATGAATACACATTCATCTGTTCTGCTGCATTTTTCAGTGACTCATCTTCCATTGAAAAATGTCCAGGCCAGAACACTTCCTGAAAGCTTTAACAGTTTAGGTAAAGCTTCCAGATGTGACAAGACCTTCTGGAGGTTCCTACCTTCTGAGCCCTCTCCTTGATGAATGGTTCCTGCTCTAGTTCTAGGCAAGCTCATTCTAATGTAGTAATTCTTATGGGAAAAAAATTGCTTTGCTCCCTTTCCAAATCAGCTACTTCATCTAGGAGACTGCAAGTTAACGGCAGGAGTGCAGGGACCAGATCCTGAAACAGGAGAAAAGTGACAGCAAGGATTGCTCCATCAATACTGGGCTAGAATTTCCCAGAGCTTTGGGCAGAGTATTGTGCAGTAGTTGCAATCTGATGCAACCAAATCATCAGAAGAAACTGCATCCTTCCCTGCCTGAACAAGGAATTCCTGGAAAACAAGAGTAAATTGCAAGAGCAGGGGTGTTAACCAGTCATGGCTTTGTAGAAGAGAACTTTGTGGTATCATCTGTCACACCTGTATGATGAATAGTAGACAGGTATTGATACAGGGAGCAGTTCTGCTGGGAACCTCAGTCCTGGGAATCCCTTCCCTGCTTGCTCTCAGTGGACTCCAAGATCCAGTTTTATAAAGACTGCTGGGAGACAGAGGGCATAATGCTACCATTGATATGCATTTGTACTGTAACATTTGATATTTTGTGGATTCATGCATATGATGAAAACAAACTCTACCTCCAGTTTTGTCCATACAAAGTCTGTATTTTGTGTGTGTGGTGTTTCTGTGCTCTATACATGCTGTAGTATAGTGATACCATGAGACACTAAGAAATGCTGATGATTTCTCAGGTCAATAAAAATGAGTCTAGAGGCCAGGTAAGACATTTTTATTCGAAAGTTAGCTTGGAATTCCTCACAGTCAAGCACATACTATGATGATGCTTGGTAAGGACAGGCTGAGTGGTGCTTAGCTCGCTGTGAATGCATGAAGGGAACCTTTGGTGGTAGCTCTATCATCTAGTGGTGTTTCATTTGTGCTAATAAAGCCTTTATCCTGCCAGCAGCTTTTCTCAGTGTTTGGTTAAGTCTCTCTTTTGTGTGGTTGCAATCACTTATGTATGTGATTGATAGGCCATTTAAGTGAACAGTGGTGTTTGCAGCTTGGCAAATGGAGTGTTTAGTAGAGCAGGCAGGGTCAGGTTGATGGGGGAGCTGATAGCAGGTGATCCCTGCTGATGGGAAATGCTTCTCTGGAAAAGGTCCTGTGGGGTGCAGAGCCCTCGGGGGGGGGGTGAGCTCTAACAGCTGTGTCAACAGCGTTCCCTTGGCAGAACTGACACAGCTCAGGGACATCTCAGTGTCGCCCCCAGATCTTTCTCACTTGCTTTTGTCGCTGAGACGCTTTCTTGCACTGAAAAGGACAGCACAATACTAATGAAATATGTCATCTTGGAAGTGCTCGAGCTTTCTGATGGTCTTTGAATCAGCCACTACGCACGATTTGTCAGTCACTTCTGACTGAAAGCTGAATGCTAAAGCCCACGTTTAAGCTGTGATAAAAATTAATGCTTTTGTGCCCTGTTTCTGTAGTAGTATGGAATTGTGGAGGTTTGTACACGTGTGTTTTTCCTGGATACAGAACTGGGTTCAGTAACATCAGTCTCTGCAGAGAGCAGGCTGGGTACTGCAGTGCACTCAGAAGCTGGAGCTGGTGCAGAACATGATTTGTACCCACAGTGATGCCAGCCCCTGTGACTTGTGCTGATGGGAATACTCAGTGAACACGAGCTGCCTGCCTGCTGTATTGAGCTGTCAAACCTTAGATGTATTATATGGCATAAAGAGCAGATTTTTTTTTCCCCTCCTTTTTTCTCCTTATTGAAGTAGTGCAATCAAAGTTTAACAATGAAAGTAGTTTTCAAGTTCTTAAAAGTCTTCTTGTCCATTCACTGGGTTTAGCTGGAACAATCCAGAGCTGGGAATCTCTGATTATCCATTCATTTTCCATTCTTGTCAGGGACAACCAGGTGAAAGAAGACACAGAAGGATGTCCTGGAAGGACTGAGACAGCAGCTTGGGTCAGTGTTACTGTAGTGGGCCTCTTGGATGGGCAGTGGTTGGAGATGGGATTATCTTTAATCTCAGCTGGTCTCACATGACATAACTGTTTTAGTGTGGAAAAACACATGCTAGACTGAAAGAAGTCTTCGAAAAAGAAGTTGGAATAAGAAGTGCTAAACCATGAAGAAAAAATAAAATAGCCTGAAGTGCAGTAAAGTAGCTGGATGAACTGCAGATATTTGTAGAGATTAATTTCCCCCTTCAAAGAACTAATTCATTATTCTGATAATCCACATATGCAGAGCTTTAATAGTGAATTCACTCAATCTTAGGGTTTTTTTTTTTGGTCCATTTATGCAAAAGATCAGCCTAACATTATCAGATGTTTCTTCTTTTTCACATGGAAAATCTAAGGAATACTGACTCAATATGGAAAGGAATAACAGTTCGACAGCTTCTTTGGGGGCTCTCCAAGCTCACAGCTGAACAACAAAGTAGTGATGAATTTCATCATTTCTGAGATTTTTATTTTTTTTTTTTTTTTAACATGTTACTGGGCAAAACTGGGGCTCTTTGTAGGAGAATTTATCAATGCCATGACTCTGAATCTCTCTACAGTATTGTGTGAAACAAAAACATTAACTTACAGAACCTTTCCAGACATTACTGACTGCTGTTACTGGCTTTGTGCTACTGGCTTGCCAATATTGGTTTTCTTATGAATCCTGGTTAGACAAAGTGATTTTTAAAGTCTTTTGGGTTTGCTTGTTTGCATATGATGTGGCAAGGTAAGAAATGGTTAATACAGGAAGCCAGTTAGGCTGAAGTGTTGCATTTTCTTTCCATTGTATCTCTATGTCTGTGGCTTCCTTGTAGCACAGGAGAAAGGAGGGCAGTCTGCTGTCTGGTAGTAATTGCAGGAAAGATAGATTCACTAATTGGAACCAGAGTCAGTGTTTAAATAACACTTCTTTTCTGAACAAGTCCAGTGCACTGGACAAATTGCAGCTGTTTTACTGAGGTTGGTGATGCTGTGGTATTTGGATTTGAACACACTGGGCAATAAAATCATTCTTGCACAGTGGTGATTCATTTCTATATTTGTTTATTAAAAATTTAAAAATATGTTATGTCTTAATACACTCAGGAAAACACAGTTTTCTAAATCAGATGATCACTTGGTTAAACTGTTGTCTACTTCTGCTGAAGACAACATCTTTCATTTTGTTTGCTTTTGGTTTTTTTGTTACTACATCCCCAAGATTTCCGAGTTAGCCTGAGGAAGTAAGATGCAATCCTATGTCCAATGCATATCTTGGAGTAAATGAGATTTTAAAAATACAGGACTGGTTCATTTAATATCAAATGCTCTTCAGCCATAAACTTAAAAACTTCACGCAGTGAGAAGTGGATACTGTGATGCTTTTGTAAATAATGCATATAGAGCCTGATGCAATGCAAAGGAAAATAATTAGACTTCAGATTGCCTGTGGGCAGGCTGTGAGAAGTTTTGTATGCATTTACTTGTTCATTCCTCATTGTGCCTCTTCTCATCATTTGAATCTGGTGCCACAGGCTCAGATGTGCTATTTTCCCTTTTTTATTTTTCCTCTGAATTTAACTGTCTCCTTCACCCAGGCCATTTCACAAATATCTATTAGTTTTCTTTTCACTGGGACATGATGCAGAAGAAGCAGGGGAAAATGTCTGTAATAAAATAAGATGAGGCAGGAGCTACAGCCTGATGTGGTTGTTCCAAAGTCCATAAGGTTCAGCTGTGCAAATAACAGTGCCCACGATTGATCCTGGAACCGGTGAAATCGGACTGGGGGCTTCTGGCAGGCTGGGTGTCCCTTGTTTCTGCTGTGGTGGGAGGCTGTGGGGTTTTGAGGAGGTCTGGGTGGAGAAGGGAGGAATGAGATGGGGGTGGTGAGATCCCTGAATGTTTAAGTGTGTACACAGCAGGGACGGAGGGGAAGCAGGCAGTGGCACCTCAAGGTGGCTTCTCTCAAGCACGCTTTTTATTTCCACACCTTCCCCCTTCCCTGGGAGTGCAGGATTGTTATCCTGACCTCTGCTGTTCCTTCCTGCAGTGTGCCCGAGACAGAGGCTGCTGGGGCAGGGAAATTTGTTCAGATGCAGCAATTACAGAATGCCTTAACTCTGTGTGCACCTCTGTCCTTCCCTGTTGCCACTGGAGAAGGACATGGCTAGGAGGAAAGACAGCTAATTTCCAGGGCAGTTTTCTCTGAGGAAAACTGCTTAAAACCAAACAAAGCACAGGCAGTTCATGGTGCTGGTTGTAAGACACACTCGAAATTGTGGTTGTTTTACACATGCTTTGTTCATTTCTCTTGAGGTAATGATGATTCAATTGTAACTATTGTTACAGTCCATTTTCACAAACTTTGATGAATTTAGCTTGATGTTTCCTTAAGTGGAGTAGAGATAGAAATGAAAAAATGTTTATATGTGTCAGTTTTGGAGTGCTTTTGGAAATAAACAGCATGTTCTTCTGCTGACAGGATTTGAAATCTAGCAATCAGCGAGATGAAATTGCTGCAGCACGTGCATCCCTGAAGGAAAATTCTGCTTTCCTACATTCAATATGTTCAGCTTGTTTGGAACATTCAGATGTTGCATCCCTTACAGCCAGCAAGGATTCAATTTGCAATGAAATACAGAATGCTCTCAATGTAATTTCTAATGCTTCCCAAGGAGTTGGAAATAAAATGGAGCAACCTGCATCTCACACAGCTACTCTTGGAAGTGCACTTGATGAGCTTGAGGTACGTGAACATGTGAGATTACAATATTTTTGGAAAAACCGTTTATTTATTTTTTTTAATAACTATTGGTATCATAAATGATGAGCCTGAAGGCAGTAAAGATTGTTGCTCTGCTTAGTCCTAGTCTAATAATATCACTTGAAGTGATTTTATTGAGAGGGATCACTTTCTTCAGAGGAGTTTGGAATGAAGGCTTGGAGTGTGTTCAGTATTTGTCTCCCTTGAAGCAGAGGGCTCAGTCAGCTCCAGTTGTGTCACTGCTGCTGGAGACAGACACATCCTGCACTAAGTGGGCAGAGCTCAGGAGTTCAGTTTGCTCAGAAGTCATTCTCAGCTCGCAGTGCCCACTGCTGCATGTGAGCTGCTGCCATGCAAGCTGAATCCTTGTCTCCAGAAAGTGTCAGTGGGATCATTCTGTAATTGGTATAATCGAGCCATTCTGAAACCTCATTATATTTGCTGCTTATCATTAAATAAAATGACATAGCCAATATGCTTTCACCACCTCTGCATTTCTGCTTCCATTATTGAAGCAAATACCTGGGGGAAGGCAGCACTTTCTCTATTCCTGGCCTCATCCAAAGCTTTCCTATGCAGTTTTTCCTCTTTCTAATGGCTCTGGCTCTCACCAGTGGCATTTTCCATTGTCCTGCCACGAGTGGTAAAAGATCTCCTGCAGGTGAAACTACAGACCATGATCCTCATGGTGATGTAGGCCCAGATCAACAAAAGGAATGAGTGTTTCTAGACACATTTGCAAATATGGGTGGTTTGGATTGTGAATTCTTGAACTTAGCAGATCCCAGCATCCCAGTGCTAAGACTGTGATGCATTTTCAGGAAAATTGATGTTAAGGACTGATGGTAGTCGATTTTTATCTAAAATTTTCAATGGAAGATTAAAGAAATACATTGAAATATGGCAGTTTATTGATGAAAACAGTGGCAGTTTATTGATGAAAACAGACCTCTCAGTCATGCTCCAAGTCAAATCAGACAGGCTTTTCCCCCAAAGGAACAGGCTACAACTGCACCTTATGTGCCATCCATTCTTGCTTCTCACAATGAGTTTTAAAATTACAGTTCCTAATCTATTTTCCTAATAAATGGAAGGGAAAAGAAACGTGTAAGACTAATACATAAGTTGTTACAGTGTAACTGTGAATGACAAATGAGATCCCTTATATGAGACCCATTATTTACCTGGAATTACTTAAAAATAAAAAAAAAAAGAAATGTCAAAAGAGTTGCATTTTTTTACTGCAGATGAATTCATCATGGCTCTATATAAGCAGTACTATTTAAAAATGCAATAAGATTTATTATTGTTCTAAAATTTGAAATTTGTGATAATCACAAAAAGGAAAAAATTATATTTTGAATCGAATTTGTTTTCATTTGGAAATGTAAGAACATAGAAGTCGGACGGTTGTAAAAAGCCGTTGTTTATCAAGTTGTAAATATATTTTTACCTAGGTAGCACAAATGGGAATGGAAGGTGTGTGAGTTAGATAAAGCACAATTTATAGAGCATTTAACTTCTGAAATGATTTTATGAGTTAGATGGTTACACTTTTCTCCCTTTACAGAAAGTTCTATTGGTTAAGGACCTGAAATAACCTTTGCTCTATCTTCTTGTTGCAAACACAGTGTCACGGAATAGATTGATGCAGCAAATAGTCTGGTGGGAACAAATCTCATTAAATGTTTATAGTGTGGAAATGTATCTCAGAGCTTACCCAACAATCTAGTATCTAGATGTTTTGCAATATCATTCTTCCTTTGCCAGTGCTGGCACTGTGAAAGTTATTAAAGATTTATAGGTGAGGAAACCACCAGTAAAATTAGAGTAGCTAACTCTTAAATCAATAGATTCACAACAGTTCCTCTTAGAGGCTCCCTGTAACTACCGTGTCATTTGTAAATAAACACAAAATTGTAAGTTTAAAATTTAATTGCATATTAAGATCTGTGAAAAGAGCGTGTGGGTGCAAGTTACCTTTCCCTGCTCTTTGATCTTGTGAATGCAAAGAGATTTCTCACAAAATGCTGCAGGTCCTGCATGCCTGAGTGTCTGTGGGCGTGTTCAGCTGCTCTCTGGTCCTTGAGGGACCGTGGCCATGCAGCGAGCAGTGACATGAGACATGCCAGAGGGCTCTAAGTCACTCCAGAGCTCCACCAAAGGCAGCCAGTTTCTGCATAACCATGGGCCCTCTTTTCTTCTGGATCACACCAGTGAGGGAGAAAACGGGGATCTAATCACTCCTCTGAAATGCTTGAGTCTTTAAGCTACCTCAGAGTAGCTGACCACTGTTTAGCCTCTTAAATCAGATCCACCGAGATTGTTTCTTGTGTATCTGATCTCTTCCCATTGAGTCTTTCCTGTGTAATGTACTGATTATGAATAAGTAATGAAATGATTTGAAGAATTTTATCTGTAGGGCAGAGTCTGAACTCTTATTTTCCTGGCTATTACTGTCTTTTTATTTTTTTATTTTAGATTTTTTATTCAGAGATGAAGCATAGTAGCTTTTTGGCCAGTGCCTTTTGTCCATCCTGGTGTAAACTTTCTCCAAACTGTCTCCCAAAGGAGGACATTTCTGGTTTGGATCAGCTGAGATTTGAAGTGTTCTAATAGAAAACTTTCATTTCTAGCTTAAGCTAGACAGTCCCAGAAATTGTCCTATTAAATCTAAACTGAAAAAAATAATTTAAATCCTTCAGTTTACAATTAGTCTGGCACATACTGGATAAGCACAGGTAAGTTCTGATTTACCTGAATTCCACGTCAGGGTATCTGGCATAGTTTTCTTGTTTAATATTTCTTCTGAAAGCTTGAAACCACCTATGGATGTGATGTGAGAGGTGAACAGGTGTATGTGGAGTGTAGGTTTGGAGATCAGGACCATAATGACAGAATTGCAGATGTTCAGTCACATTACCAGTTACTGGTTTGACTTTCTTCAAATGCTGAAGCTCAAATATACTTACCCTCACGTTTCATGGAAATCTCATATTCTACTTTTCTTTTTCATTAGAATATTTGCTTGCCACACAAATATAATTAATTTTATCAAGACAAAAGAGTTGTCTGCTTTTGTTTACCCTACCTTCTAAAAAGCAAAAGGACATTTATATCTATATCCTTTGAAAAAATAATCACTAAAAAAAGCTGCAGTTTTTATCTTTGCCCATATTCAGCCTGTTAAAAGTGGCAGTGGTGGCTTTCTGCCGCAGTGTGGGATTGATTAGACTAAAAATCAGCAGAATTAGGCTCTTTGTGTAATCTGACTTAACTTCCTCAACTGTGAGCTACCACTGCTGGCTCTGAGTTAGCTGCAGAGGTTCTCCTGATCTCTCAAACACTAAATAGGCATTAAAGCCCTCCTTCAAGACTCACAATGGCAGAGAGGACCTGGCTTTGTCTGCAGATGACCTCTGTGTTCAGCCCCACTGGGGAAAAGGGAATCTGCCAAGGTCAAAACTATTTTGGAGGCTTCCAGTGGAAAGGGCCAGCAGCACATCTGGGAGCATGATGTCACTGCGGCTCCTGCAAGTCAGAAATAAAGCGGCAGCTTCATTGAACTGACTGTTGTTACCTGCGCTCCTCGTTTTTCCCAGAATTTAATAGCCCTGGATCCCCTGGCAGTGAAGGAGGAGAAGGTGAGGCCGTCTCTGGAGCAGCGGCTGGAGGCGATCATCAGCGGGGCGGCGCTGCTGGCCGACTCCTCGTGTACCCGCGACTCGCACCGCGAGCGCATCATCGCCGAGTGCAGCGCCATCCGGCGGGCCCTGCAGGAACTGCTGGCCGAGTACCTGCGCTCCGTGAGTACTGCCCTGGGGGGACACTGAGAAACACAGACCGGGGACAGTGAGAAACACGGCCTGGGGACACTGAGAAACACGGCCCTGGGGGGACACTGAGAAACACGGCCTGGGGACACTGAGAAACACGGCCTGGGGACACTGAGAAACACGGCCCTGGGGGGACACTGAGAAACACGGCCCTGGGGGGGGACACTGAGAAACACAGCCCGGGGTCACTGAGAAACACAACACAGAGCCATGGGTAACACCAGGCCACCGAATAATGCTGGGTCATGAATAACACTGGGCCATGGGGCCACTGAGTAGCACTGGGCAACTGAGTAACAACACAGGGCAGCTGAGTGACACTGGACAACCGAGTGACAACCTAGTGACGCTGGACAACAGAGTGACACTGGGCAACAGAGTGACACTGGGCAACTGAGTAACACAACACAGGGCAGCTGAGTGACACTGGGCAACTGAGTAACACAGGGCAACTGAGTGTCACCTGGGACAGGTGAGTAGCACAGGGCCCCACTTAGGGCTGCCTCAGCACCTCATGCTTGGGGAGCTTAGTGTTTAACCAAGAACTGACATACAGTTGAACCTGCATTTCACAACGTGCTCTTTAAAAGGTTGAAAGGGACATTTTTCTCCAGGAATCTAAGTAAAAACGAAATACACATCCCCAGAGTGAGTATGAATTGTATTATATCGTGTATATCAAGTCTGTGGAAAATGCCATACCGCAGATAAAATGTACATGTTTAGGTTATTTTGTACTTGTTGTGAAGTGTCACTGGTTCAGAACAGACAATCCTTCATATGCCAAAAACAAGAATTTCTTCATAATGCCACTTCCTAGACTAGAGTTTGAAAATGTAATCTCTGTTCCTGTAGAATGCGACAATTTAAATCATAATTTCTCAAAAGGTAAGCAATCTGTTATTGTTGTCTTCAAGTAGAGTGTTGACACCAGAAGAGGAGAAGAGCACCAATTGACAAGTGTTAGAATGACTAAATTGCTATATTGGGAAGACAGGAGTGTTGGTAAACCCAGAAATCTGGTTGTCTGCCTGTAGCTGTGAATTAAAAAGGAGCGTAGTTTGCGTTTAAAAAGTGATTTTTCTTTTAGATTTGAAGAATGGATTTGACACTTGCTATGTCTGGCAGGTAAATGTTGAAACAGTGGAGACTCAATACTGTTAATATGGGTACACAATGTTAATCTCATCTGTAAACATTTTCTGTAGGCATAATGTTCTTTTCTAAAGATACCTCAGGATGATTCATCAAGCAAGCACACTGAGAGAACAATTGTGTTATACAGATACTTGCTCCCTTTTTGGGAAGCTGAAATTCCTTTCTGTTCTGTAAGTCAGCAGTTGACACTCTAATGAGACTGTTTGCTTTGTCTTATTTTATTGTCCTTAGGATAATGTAGTGTAGGGACTAAAATAATCTATGCACATCAGATTCTTTTTCATCTCACAGCTCTTGTACTTTTTGATATTTCTCTATTTATTGGGAGTTTACAGGTGCTTTATTAAAGTCAAGTTGTGCTTTCAGGCCTTATACCAGAGCAAGGTGCTATATAAAAGTTTTAATTAAAATGCTGTTGAATGCAGCCTTAATTCTTGAACCTCTCTGGAAGTGCTTTACACATGAGTTAGATAGTGAGATTTTTTTCTGCCCGGTTAGCTTGGAATGTAAATCTTTGGTATGTTGTTGTGGCAGATTTGTCTTGCAATATCTGTTCTTGTGGGCTGGGTCACAGTTTGTTGTTAAGTGGCTGAAAGTTTTATACAGGAGGGCATCCACCTTTAGTGGTTGGGCTTAATGATCTTGAAGGGCTTTTCCAACATAAATGATTCTATGATTCTATCCAGAGCACATGGCAGGATGCAGATGTGGTGAACAGCATCCTGTGTTAGTCCAAAAGATTGCTGTGGGTTTGTCCCAAGAACACTTTCCTATGTATCTCTGGTGTGAAACTACAAGATTTGAAGTCAAATGGTCTTAAATTCTTAGACTCTTAAAACAAAATCATGATGATCTTTTGTACTTCAGAAATAGTCATGGGTTTAGGGGTACATAATGTACAATAGGTGGAAAAGAATAAAACATAACCCACTCCACTGACTTGAGAGTCAGAAAGCAGCTATTGAAATATGACAGTAAGGGAAAATGTCCTATAATTTGGTGCAGAACACAATGACTGCACAAGGCAGCAAAGACAAGGAAAGAAAAAGGAAAAAATACAAAAGATTTAAATGTGTGAGGTTACATAACAGGAGGGAATGACAAGTTTTTAGTTTCTTTTAGAGCTCTTATATAATTATTACTGAATGGATACACTGAGTTAAATCAGTTTTTCAATGAGATTATCAGATGTCAATTACTTTATTTCACAGCTCTAACTTGCTGAAGAGGAGATGATAGATCCAGGAAACAGTGCTGATTTATCAGTGTCTTTTTGGCTCTTCTATTAGTAGTTTCAATAAGCTAGGCCTGGGAGTTGAATGAGCTGTAAAGATGATGACAGCTATTTGTTACCATAGCACAATTTAATTTTCCTCTCCTTGGGAGCACTGTTGTACTCCACAGGCAAGTGCTGTGTCTGTGGAATACTTCGTGGCTGTTTGTGTGTATGCCCTCCTGTGTGCCCTGTGCTGAGTGAGCTCCAGAGCCCCTGTGCCACAGCTTCTACGTGAGAGTGGAAAGCTTTCCTTGCCCACAGTGCAGCCAGGGTGTGCCTTGCTCTGGCTTTGTGCCCCTGGTGTGTTTCCCAAGCACGGCCTCCCTGCTCCATTTCTGCCCTCTGCACTCCCTCTCACGAGCTGTGCCCGTCAGGGTTTGTTTTTCTGCACACGGGGCTCCTGTTTCTTGCTGGCACGTTGTGGAACCTTGCCTTAAGGCTCCTTCCCATCTAAGTGTTGCCAGTGGAGCTGCATGGCCCCAGAGCCACCTCACCCAGTAAGTGCCACCTCCACAGGTCCTCTTCCAGCAGCTGCTTTGCCAGGAAGCTGCCCTGGCCCATCCAGGGTCTCCCTGGCTCTGGTGCTCATGGTGGATGTGCCCTGCCCAGCAAATATTGAGCTTAAACAGAGCCATTGCCAAGGACTTGGGTGCCTGAGCTCTGTGTAAGGTTCTGCATTGCCTGCTCTCTTGAAACTAGGCCTCAGTGCTTGAACTTGATAGGAGTGAGGGATTTGTCTTTACAAACAAACTGTGGGTCTGCTAGGAGATAAATCTGGCACTGAGAGGTAAAAGAAACAACGGGAAGGATTCCACTGATTGATGAATGGAATGAGAGACTTGTCTTAGCAAACTGTAGGTCTTCTGATAAATAAAATTGAATACTGAGAGATGAAAGAAACAATGGGAAGAACCATAAATTCCATAGGAATTCCACTGATTGACACAAGGAAAAGAAAAAGAGGAGGGTTATACATTAGAAGGAGGTCTTAGGTATTAGACTTTTGGGAAGTGTGTACCTCTCAAGTACCTCAGGCAGTGGGGAAAGAGAGAGGGACGTGGCTGGGAAATGAGGATAAAAGGAGGCTGCATCCCCCAAAAATTTGAGAGACCCCAGGGGAAATTCCCCATGGCCTCTTCCATTATTCAAAAAAAGTTACATGACTCCTCCATCTCCTTTTTGGACATAAACCTCTGGTGTTTGTGGAATAATTTTCCTGACAAACTGTACAGGAACTTAGGATTTCTTAGCCCTAATATTTGAAACAGTATAAGGAGTGTAGCTTTTGTGGTTCCTAAATTTGTTTTTTTACATTTTCCTCAATTATTTAAAGTGTCTAATAAGTCTCAAGGGCATCAAAGATTAAGAGCTTGTTGGTGTCAGTGATAAATTTTTAAAAATCTATTTTTTAAAGAGTTTTTAATGCAAGCTGGGAGAAACATTGTCTCAGAAGATACTTGCTTTTATGAAAGTGTCTTTTTCACAGAGGTTTTATCACAGTGAATGGTATAATGGAAAGTGAAGCAAAATGCTCTCCACAAGAACCTCTAAGTTTTTCTGTTCACAGAGTAATTCAGGCACACAGTAAATTGCAAATACATTTATAATTCTGAAAGGCAGCAGTTTTTCTTCTGAATTGTTTCAAAAATTCTTCGAAATTATTTGTGAACTATTGGTATTCTTTCTGAATTTTACTCACAGCCTTACATTGTTAGGGGATATATTTGCATTTTAGGACATCCAGTAACAGGAATTAGTACTGTGGGTTTGGAGATCTCATCAATGGCAGAATCATAGTGTAATGTGGATAATAATGAAATAATGTATCCACTGGAGCAATCGTTTTTCTAGTAATGAGCTTTCTAGTAATTCCTTTTTCCCAGTGAGCAACTCTTGTCTCTTCATGCTTTCCAAGGAGAAGTTCCTGAACTCCCTGGGGTGCAGCAATAGGAACTCCACGTTTCCTGAGTTGTGTTTTTACTCACTCACTGTAAGGACATTCCCTTCCCTTCAGGAGGGGGTCAGAAAGGATAATGCAGTTGTGATGGTGTGAGTGCAAGTGGCTCTTGTGGGCAGCACTAGGTGCTGCTGTCTGTGCCATCATTAAATAGGGAGGTGAACAATTATTCTGCATCCTCCTCTGGCTTTCCATAAAGAAAGGTCAGATACACTGCTAATATGAGAGCTGCTTTCTTGTACTGAAATCCTCTTGCTCTTTGAATGTGTTTCATGCCATTTGAGCTTCATTAGTTTTAATAAAGCTTATTATGGCTTTATAGGTTGGAGATACATATGTGTGTATGTATGTATATATGTCAGTGTATTTTTCTAATCAGTTCTGATTTCACTTCCTTCTTGTGTACTCCTAAAATGTTTGTTTCTTAACTGGGTTTTTGTGTCACTATTACCTAAATGTTTGCTGAGACATGGGTAATTTAGTCTGGACATGCCTGTGGCTCCTGTGCCACAGGTGGTGGCAGCTGCTGTGTCCTGCTGTCCCACAGCTGTGCTGTGTGTGTGGCAGGGAACAGAGCCA